TTGGAGGGTGGAAACCTGATTGGGGTCCAGATTGTGTCTCACTGTGGTTTGTTGGAGTTGGGTGGTGGGGGGAGGAATGCTTTGCAAGGTTTTCATTTGATCTTTGTGGGTTTTTTTCCTTTCTTTTTTTCCTTTTGTAGTAGTAGCTTAATAAAGTTTTTTTTCCCTGTTATTAAGCTTGGGCCTGCTTTGCTCTGTTCTAGATTCCACTTCACAGCATTCAAGGGAGGGATCACATTTTCATGGGGGCACTGGCATTGTGCCAGTGTCAAACCATGACAACTCCCCAGTGAGACTAGAAAGATATCACTAGAATTGGACTACTAGGACTTGTTAAAGTTTTTAAAAGATTTTCTTCTGATGCACTGGAAGACATTGATAGCTACAACCAATAACTCTAAATATTACAATACACAAAAAATTACAACTTTTTGTTTCATCCTTGCTCTTTTATTACCTCAGCACTGAACACAACCAAATGGTATGCATAGATATAGCAACCATGTTACACAAAATGTTAAGTCTGTGGCAAAAGTTAGAGGGAAAGAAAATGTTCTTATGCATCAGCGACACTATGACAATACCAACATGTGCCTCACACCTATGGACATGAAATCTGTGCCTAACTCTGCTTACAGACTCTTGAGAAAATACTCCAGCAAGCATGGTAGAGATATTTGGAGACTGGATAGGCACAGTAGAAAGTGATAGTAGTTTAGGCATCTATAGAAAATCACCAAAATACCATCATATGTTAGGTTCATAAGTCTCAACCAAGGATCTATTATGATTTTGTCTAAACAGCACTAGTATCAGAACAAAAGTAAGAAAACAAAATATTTACATAACAAATCTACCAGTAATTTCTGTTAGAAAAGGAACAAGCAACCCTTCTTTTTTTTCCATATGACTATAGAAATTGGAAGAGCTCTTTGGAGATAATATAGACCTCTTCACATGCTTAACAGGTTCATCCACAAGAAGGTGCCCAGGACTATGTCCTCACAGGTTTTGAATAGCTCCAAAGACAGACCTTTCACAGCCTCTCTTGCAAACTACTTCCACTGTTTGATCACCTTCCAATTAAAATGCTATATTCTTCATGAAAATGAGGTTTCCTGTACTTCTGTTCTTGCCCATTGACTCTTGCCCTGTCATTGCATATCACCAATAGAAGTCTGGCTCCTTCCTCTTCTTTATTCCTCCCATATCAATCTTTTATTCAGACTACTTAGATTCTCCCTGAGCCTTCTCCTCTCCAGACTAAACAGTCCCTGTTATCAGTCTCTTCCCATATGACACGCATTCCAAGACTTTAATAATTTTTTATTATTTTCACTGGACTCACTGACTAGCACTGAGGAAACATGTCTCTTGACCTACCAGCAATTCACTTTATGCAGTTATGGACACTGCTGATATTCTTTGCCTCAAGGCCACACTGCTGGCTCATGGTCACATTAATGCCCACCAGGACTTCCAAGTCCTTCTCAGCAAAGTTGCTTTCAAACCAGTCACCCTCAGAATTTACTAGTGCATGGGATTATTCCTCCCCAGGAGAGGACTTGACATTTCTCCTTTTCTAAACTTTTTAAGATTCCTGTTTACCCATTTCTGCAGCCAGTCAAGGTCACCCTGCATGGTACTACAACCCTCTGCCGCATAAGCTACTCTTCCCCATTTTAGTTTTTTGCATGCTTGTTTAGGGCATTGTGTCCATTTTTAGGACAGAACGTGCCAACATCCTGGTCATTAACAAAGTGTGAATCACTACTGGTCACACTACCAGCCTGGGGTGCTCTCCACTGACTGACATGCAGCCAGATTTTGTGCCACAGATCACAGCCCTCTGAGCCCAGCCATTGAACCGATTTCTGAGTTTCCCTCACTACCCACCTATCCAGCCTGTGCTTCCTCAGGTTGTCTAGAAGGATGGAACACTAGTGTTGAAATCTTTACTGCTCTGAACATAAACAGTACCCATTGTTATCCCCTCACCCACCATTATGGTCAACTCCATGGTGTAAGACATGGAAACTGTTTCTTATTGAAAAAGAGGGTGAAAAACTGAAGTTAATTTTCATAGTAAAGCATTCTCTAATTTCAAAGGAAGATTTGGCAAGCATATTAATGCATATGTTTAGCCGAGTAAGGAATGATTCCTTATCAACGCTTCACTTTTTTTTAAAGAGACCACAAAATTAATGTTTGATTTCTTGAAACATTGCACAATTTTCATTGCTTCCACATACATATTGGCATGAAATCTTTCTTCTAATTTTACATTTATGAAATACTGTGAAATGAAAGTAGTAAAACCTAAAAGATGTGAAAAAAAATGGAAAAGAAAACAGTATGAAAGCAGACGTGTAAGTTTTAAAGATATCAACAAGAGTTCTCTAAGAAAAAGAAATCAGAAAATTGAATTATATTCCATATGAAGCAAGATGGACAACTCACAAAGCATATATACTGAATATCAGAAACAAAAGTGTCATTCTGGATTCCTTTCTCGTCTCAATAGTTTACTAAAAATAGTGTTCACACAGAAAGAAGCTCAAAAAACTAACATGCTACAAAGTGGGTTTACTTTTAAACTCAATTGTTTTTTCTCAAATTTGATTGCATAAAATGTAATCAAATATTTTCCTCTTTACTGTCTTTCACTAAACCATCTATAAGATCAGAATTGCCAATTTCAATATAGTGTGAACCCCTGGAAAGTTCTAGTTAATAACTAAAGCATTGCTTTTTTTATACACTACATTACTTAATGTCATTTCTAAATTAAAGCAACATAGTATTTCAATTCCCTTCAAATTAGCATATTTCCAGGGTTAAAAACTATGCTTAAAACCTAATCCTTTCTAATCTAGACTTCAGTCAAGCAATTTCTAAAAGCCTATGAGAGTTTTTAAGACATTTAAGCACTTGTAAAAAAAGAAAAATCTGTTAAAATCTGTTTGTTGGATGCTGAGCAATGAACAGGGGCCTTTAATATTATAAAGACAAGAAATAAAAGATTTTGAACTAATGTGATCAAAAATACAAAAATAAAACCACCATTTGGTATGAAATGAATTTAAATATTAAACTGTTCTCTATGCAGAATGGAAAGGACAGGTCCTAAAGAATTCATCTGTGATAGTATTTAAGTAAAGTAAAATAATTCCAGGAAATTAGAGAATTTTTATTTCATTAGATTCCAAACTACTTACCTAACACGCTAACAAAAATATCAAAAAAATGAAATGTGAGAAGAGGTTCTTTCATCTGGCCAAAGTAGTCCACTATAGTTTTGAAGACATCTCTTTCAAAGCCTGAGTATGTAGGCTGCTTCACATCTGAACAACTGGGCCCTACAAAGAACAAAAAGAACAAAACAGAAAGAAGCAAAAGAGAGAGAGAACACTGCTTTTCAGCCACCAAGCAGATCAGTGTTTTCTGATCCAGCCCATTAAAATGGATCATTAGAGGAAAAAAAAAAAGATTCTTCAAAATAAGTGAAATTTTATTGATCTACTACTGGAACAATCTATTCTCAATTGGTCTAGTGAAGATACAAAACAGAGGAAAAACACTAATAGAATACTTAAATGTTTATATAATTAATTTAAATAAGCTACACTGGAAGGAAAATACATGCTGACAGGTCTTTTCCAACTTTCTTTTATAAAATAATCATAAAAAGACTGAAAGTGAATATAAACAGGACTTAATAAAGTGGTGAAGACACAGTCAGTTCTATTTATTTTTTTTCAGGGTGGGTTTTTTGTGGGATCTTTTTCCCCCTTTTGAATTTACTTACAATTTGCTAGACATTTCATTGCGGATAATATCCAATGAGGTAGTTCCTCTGTGCAGGGAAGAAACAGAAATTAAGGGACAAAATTAAAAGAAAAAAAGAAGAAAAATATTCAGCTGTTGGACAAAAGCAAAGCTGAAAACACTTTGATATGTTCCTCCTCCGTAGTAAATCAAGTGACTCCAAAGGCAGGCTATACCTTAATGTAGGATCAAGCTTGAATTACATCTATACTTCAGTACCTCCACAACTATCATACAGTTATGCATTCTGCCCTTGCAGCTCAAGCAGCAAAACAGGAAATATCACAAATTTTTAACCTACTCAAAAAAAAGAAAAAACCCAAAACAGATATAGTTCCCCAGTACTATACAACAAAGTGTTTACTTTGTACCAAAGATAATGAAAAGCACTCATATATTCAGTTCTGCCATTTCTGCAAGGAAGAAGTTAATATTTTGAGATGGTCCAACTGCCTTTGAAATGAGCAAATATGCTCTGAAGGCAGTTTTATTCACAACCAAACCAGGTTTCAATGTCATTTAAATTTCTATACAAGTCATATGCAAAACATGGTGGCAATAATACTGTGATATATTAGAGCAGTAAAGATGCTTTATTTTTTCTCTGAGGTGCAAAACAGTTTTAAACATGGTACTATCTTCAAAACACATTGACTGAAAACTCAAAACTCTCTCAATGTACATTTTGGCTCTCTTGCAATTTTTAATACATTTTTTCTTCATGTAAACACTCCAGGTAATTAAAAGGATAGGACCAAGAAATTTACCTCAAAGTGATTAATATCCCTATATCTATAAATGGTAAAAAGTTGCTGCTGTCTTACATTCATTTTTTAACCCTCCTAAAGCCAGAATTTGTTTAAGAGAGCAAATATAGAATAAACCCTGACTCTTACTATTGGAATACCAGAAAAGAACAATAACATTTTAAAAACAATAGCATTGCAAAAATAAGAGTTTCTACAAAGTCGATTTCAATATTAAAAAAGTAAATGAAAATTTCTAAAATACTCACTTGATTTGTCCTCTAAAGTAACAATGCCTTGCTTATTGACATTATATACATTTTGAACTATATGTTTTGAATTCACAAGTTTTGTATCTAACACTTCATCCAGAGAATCCAAACCCAACACCTTCTGCAATCTGCAAAAATACATAAACACACAGTTCATACACCATCTAATCTGGAAAAGGCAAACATGAAGTATTAGGATACAATTTGGAAATAACCAGACCTTCATTTCATAGAGAATATCTCCAGTTGGATGACAGCCACAAGGACCATTCTGCACAAGTCCTGCTTCTCACAGAACAGCCTAGATTTATAGAAGATCCTAAACTGGAAGGGATCCATAAAGATCCCTGGCTCTGCACAGTACAACCACAAAAATTATACCACGCACCTGAGACCACTGTCCAAACACCTCTTGAACCCTCTCAGGCTTAGGTGCAGTGACCACTTTGCTGGGGAGACTGTTCCAGTGCCCAACCACCCCCTGGATGAGGACCATTTTCCTAATATCCAGTCTAAACCTCCCCTGACAACTTCAGGCCATTCCCGCAGTCCTGTTACTGGCCACAACAGGGAAGAGACCAGTGTAGTCTCCTCCACTTCCCATCACAGATTGCACTGCAATGTCCCCTCAGCCTCCTCTAAGTTAAAGAAGCCAGGATCATCAATCATTCCTCTCTAGACCCTTCACGATCTTCATAGCCCTAAAGAAGTTTTGTTTTAGTATCTAGAAAAGGTTTAGGAATTTTAATACCTAAAACTATACCATATAACTGAAAGCACTGCCATCATGTTCCACAGCTGCCTGATTCTATCGCCTTGCATCCTATCACTGCTCAGTTGAGGGCACCCCTCAGCTTTCTCAAAACTTTTGGTGACTGTACAGCTCTTTGCTCTATCCAGATCTCACTGCAGGCCCTGTCCACCCTTGAAGGAGTCCAAAGTTCCTTCTAACCTAGTATCATGGACAAACTTAATGTACATTCAATTCCTACATCCATATACTTCACAAAAACAAGAAAGAGCACTGGCCCTAGATGGAGCCCTGCAGAGGTCCACTGATGACTGCTCAGCAGAGCCAACCACATTTACTACAATCCTTTGTGCCTGACCCAAGAGCCAGCTGCTCACCTGACAATATTATGGGCTCATCAAGCTGCATGCTGGACAGTTTATCTAGAAGGATACTGTGAGAGACAGTATCAAAATCTGCTTAAATGCAAATAAACCACATCAACTGGCTTCCCTTGGTCAACTTGATGAGTGACCTTGTCATAAAAGAAAATTTAATAGGTTACGCAGTATTTTTCCCTTCTGAAACTGTGCTGACTATGACCACTGACTGTGTGTCTCTCAAATATTTTATTATTAACTCCCAGAATATTTTTCCATAATTTTATGGGCACTGAGGTGATACTGACAGGGTCTTTGTTCTTTGCTTTCTTAAAACTGAGAAAATATTTGCCAGCTTCCAGACAACAAGCACCTCTCCAGAATCCCAAGATAAATGAAAAAAAAAAAATTGAGAGAGACCCTACAATATTGTCATACAGCTCTTTCAGTACCCTGGGATGAATACCATTGGGTTTCATATCTTTAAGCACATCCAGTTGGAACAGAAAGTTTCAAACATATTGCAGGGTCAGCTACGAGTCTCCACATTCTCAAGTCATACTCATCCAACCCAGAGCCGTGGGAGTCCCCATGTCAAGTACCAAACTTAAAGAGTCCAGGATTTTCTGTCATGTGAATGATGCTGCTCCCTGATCAAGCTGTCAGGGTTTCAGCATGCTTCCACACAATCTGCTGTGCCAACCCTGTTTGCCCACCCTTGTATTTTGGTTGCTGGAGCTCTATAGGAGACTTTATATGAAGGAGGGGTTTGGCCACCACTGCCCTTGCTCTCATTTGCCCAGGTCCTATCAAGCTCTGCCATGTGAGCTCCAGGCTAGCAGAGGGTCTCTCCAGTCCCCTGAAGTTATCTTGGTTCAGGAAACCCAGGAATATACATGCACTAATGCCCTCTGCTGCCCTTCATGCTTTCACCAAAACTGCTCACCTCAACACTGAGTGCATTACATGCAGATAATGTGCTAGACTTACACTAAAGTCATCATTAGTAAGACCTCAACTATGCTGTAATATCAGCTAGTGCATATTATTTTTTCCTGTGCAGAAATAGTCCAAAGCAATCACTTTAATTTTGCATAGGAGATTCCATTTGAATATAGTAAAGAATATCTGAATCTCAAAGCTTCAGCACTCAATTAGCTATGCCATTTATCTCATACAAAGTATTGCACTTGCCATTGAAAGGTTTCGTAGCACTTCTACGTAAGTGCTTTTATTTCCTAGCAACAAGAAAAAGAGACAGAGAAAAAAAGTGATTAAATAAGACAAAGCCCACACAACAAAGACTTCCAGGACACAACATGCAAAAGTCAAAAGGTACTAAGCATAGTAAAGTTTTTTTTTGCAGATTTTATTTGCTGAATTTGTTAGCCAAATAACAAGTGGTGGAGTTAGTCTAGACACCATGGCTTTGAAGGCAATGATGAAAAGTGAGTGGGCGAAACTACAAGTGTTACCAGAGAAGACAGACAAGACTATTACTTACTACGTGGTTTTACTATAACAGCAAATGACTCATACTTATACTCACCGTGATAAAGTCATGGATTTCCATATCTCTTCTACATTTGCTTGTGTTAGCTCTCTGCGGAGCACAAGTTTGCATGCTGGTACTTCCCCGATAGCTATGCTGTGTCGCTTGTACCACATCTCAGAGTTCTGACATCAGAAAAAACTCTCTTAATTAACTAGTTGCTTTTCAAGTGTTAAACAGCATTAAATAACATTTATAGTACAGAATTGCAAGTGTTCTTACATTCCATTGAAGTCTTCAGGATGCAAGGTAAGTATTTGTGTTTAAGAGAAATGAAACATTTTCTCAATCTTACACACACATATTTCTCAATTCCATAACTTGTCCAAAGTTGAAAAATTATGTGAGTCAGAATAGCCATTAAAGTTCAGGAGTCAATGGCCTTTAATCCTATGTTCAGGTCCTATCCATGATTAAAATGAGTTCATCTACCATTTTAAGATTAAACATCTGTTTATGGAAAAGTTACTGGAGAATTAGAAAAAAATAATCCTTTTTCAGCATATACTAAAATAACTAAACATTAAGTCAAATAACAGGTTAAATAAAGTAAAAGCAAATCACTACATCTGAAGGCACTCATCAGATCTAGTCCACCATTATTAAAGTGTAAAGTAAATCTGAGAATGCAGAAGACCGCTATCCCTTATGTAACCTTCACACCCAAGCTTGACTCTTGAACATTGTCATCAAGGTATCAGTGGGTGGACATACATTGCAGCTTATATCAGCAGAATTATTTTCAAGGCAAAACTCCTAACCATTCCAGTTTACACTACAGAACAGTGATAAAGCACGTTACAAATATTCCTTGCAACAAAACCACAAAATGCATTCCAGGAATGCACTTAAATACTACAAGCACTAATTGTCATTCCATCGCAGACTAGACTAGAGCTATTTGGAAGCAAATAGCACCCTGTGAAATTAAGGGACTGGTCTTTCACATCAGTATTTCATGACACAGACTAAAGCTCATCAATCCACACACAGCCACTAAGTGCTTAGATTGATGCTGAAGCAACCCAAGGTACCACCATTTTCAGCTGTCTACTTCAGCATTTCAACGGAAGCTAGACCTAATTATAAAAAAGGCAGCAGAAAGAAGCTTATAGCTTTGCCTCACTTACAATCAACTGCATTAATCCAAACTGCCAATGGAAGAGATTTTCAGCTATGTCAAACTCTATGCCGTTGCACCTGAGTCAGATGCAGAGGCAGACTTTTATTAATTCTTATCAAGCCAGGATGCTTGGATGGAAATTTAGAGCACAGTTGGAGGCTGTAATATATTACATCTTCAACAGATACCTGCTCAGTAACTAAAATACTCTATTCTCTTTTCCTGTCTTTGGCACCATCTTTTCTTCTACCTACTATTGAAGCTCTAAGGACCATGTTTTTTGTCTTCAGATGCTTGCTGTACATGAAGAGTACACTTTATATGCACACAAATAGATTGTAAATATGGAATAATCATTCAGAACATTTAGATGTCCAGCAAAATGGTAGGAGCTACTTTTCCAAATACACTATGGTTTATCAAGAAATCTAAGGCCAGAGTCCTGTTCTAAAGGATAGCAATAAAAAGGCAAAATCATCAAAGAAATCCTCTGTTCACAAATTATGAGAACGCCCACATAAATGATACACTGAAGAAAGAGCTTAGAATATACACAACTCCAGAAGCCTAGTCTTTTACTATCTCCTGGTCAACAGAGTTGATACAATTTTACTAATAAAAGCAAGTTTTTTCAACAACTTTACAAAGACTGGATCAATTCAGATAAGTATGAGGCAAGATGATTTTCCAAGCTTACAAAGGATAGCTGAAAGATCAGGACCACTTCTCCTTACCCAAAACATATTCCTTATGGAAAAGAAAATAGAGTCAGTAACAGCCTTATAGCAGCTAGGAAAGTTGTAATAAATGTATATATGCTGATACCTGAAGTGTCCAAATAATAGTTACAGTTTAAGTATTTAGTCTGGTAATATAATGCCCTATTGGAATTTGAGCAAACTGGAATGAAATATGGGAAAATACACCCATGCGGAACTCAGATTGCTCAGGACATTGCAATGTGTAGCAAAAAGAACACTAAAATCTTACTTCTCCACCAAATTGTAAGAAAAACTTAACTTCACAAAACTTTAGAATTAAAGTATTTAGCATTTAATTTTATAAGCAAGTATTTTGTGACACAGCATAGCAATCACCAGTTCAGTTTTACGTTCCAAATATGCTTTTGTCTGGGGAAATAAAAGTCGGTGCCTCACCATTGCAACGGATTTCACTGGGATGTGTTCTTGAGAAGGGCCAGCCCTTGGTTCATTCCAGTCTGGGAATTTAATTACATCCTTTCCACATGAAGGTTTCTTTGGATATGACTTCAGTGGTGAGGAAGGAGGAAATCTACAATTAGAGAAAATTTTTAAAGTCTCTGAATACCAATCTAATCCCCATTTACCAATGCAAAACTGTAGTCAGCCTTCACATGCAAAAATACAACAAATGCTTTGGACATTCACAGCCCAACTTAGTTCTCTGTAGACTGATGTTACGTGATATGTAAAACATCGTGGAGTGTCTTGTTTGCCCTCCAGCTGCTGCTCCAGAACAGTTCAGGTCCTTTGCACCTCCCACAGCATAGCTGAGCCTTGGGTGAATGTCTGATATCCCAGTGCATCTCATGTAGCACTAGATGTCTTTGCATAGACAATGACATAGGTCTTCCCTAGATGTTGATTCTGCTGAAAAAGCTGTGGGGATGTTTTCCCCCATGTCAAGTGCTTTGTTAGCATGCATTTCCTAAAGCAAAGCTACATAGCTAAGTCACATGACTAACACTCAGATTTAGTTAGAGTGCATGCAAGTGTCCACACAAAGTTTTGCCCACATTACCAGGTCCTCCTCTGTTTACATGCTTTCTATGCGAAGATCATATCCTGCAGTTCTTTTCTGGATCATATCCTGCAGTTCTTTTTTCCAGCTGGTTTTGCAGGTAACTATATGACTTCTTAAGGCATTGCAAGAAGCGCCTTGAAGAAATTAGCAGAAACAAGCCCTAAACCAGCCCTTGTAGAAAAGAAGGAAAACAAACTATCCAGGTTGACCAGCATCAAATTATTGCTAAGCTTAGGTCAGAGCATGTACAAAGGAACTAATGACAGCATATCAGAAAGACAAACCAGTTAGATGGGAACACTCTTCAGACTGGCCAAGATCCAATCCTGTCTACTTTTACTTCCAGGTTTTAGATGCTGAGATTCCTGATGCTTTGAGAAACTGCTTAAACCTCATTAACTCTTTTAAATCAGAATGAAAAGGACAGATATATCCACGATTTTGCAACAAGAGCTTGAATAGTGCTGGAGAGCACATGTATGTATCCTACCAGAAAAATGCTTGAGAAATCCTCAAGTTTCTCCAAAATGTCATCCCATCCTCTAAAGGCACTTGAAATATTTAATAAGTTTTTAATTTAGATTTGTTCTGCAGTTTGGTTAGTGCAGTACTGTTACATTGAATGGTTAAACACATTGATTGTTTTGACCACACACACTGAGCATATTCCACAGTGCTGTTCAACAGCACATCTGCAACACAGAGATATCACTTCCGCCAGACAAACCCTCAGAACCAGCAGCAAGCATCTCACTCTAATCTTGCAAGATTTACTCCGTTTTTTAATGGTAAACCAGACTAGATGTTCAGCTGTTGAGTGTTCTCAACCATTTTTCAGATATTCATTATTTAAGAGTTTAATGTTAAAATAGAATATACCCACATATCTGCAGCCTTTTTCCTTTGCCTTACTCTATTCTCAGTAGTTTCCTGTTTCTTCTCCAGTGCTTCGCAATTTTTAGGTTTGTGTCATTTGCTGTCCTGATTTGCAACCAATCAGTGAAACAACAAGTTCTTACGGGCAGAAAAACGAGGTGCATTCCCCTTTCTCAGGCAGCATTACAGCAAGATCTAGATGAAGGATTAATGTCACTCGAAGTGAAGGACTGAGAAGCACTCCAAGGCTGACACATTAAGATCAGAATTGGTTATAGCCAGCAACACTTGTTTGGGGAGTTTATAAAAAGAGGAACTAGAGATACCTGTTTGTGTGCAGAACAAAGGATGCAGAACAAAGGATACGGAACAAGGTCAACTAACAGTGATGTCCATGGTATATCAAGTATTACTGCTAAATTCCCAAAATATTGCTATCATTGCAAGAGTGCTAAACCTTTTACTTTTAATACAATGTCTTACATTCTAAAAAAAAAAAAGTACAAAGCCCAATAGCTTCAAAAACTGTAAATTCTCATTCATTATTGTAGACTCAGCTGAGCAAGTAAGTCAGGACACACTAATAAGTCTTCATTATTTTTAGGACTTCACATACAATATTTGCCACATATTCTCATGCGATCCAACTTTTGGCAATATTTCTTTTGCATACTCAGTGGGTGAACAAGAGTAGGCAGCTACACTTACATGTGAAGAGTGACACAACTGTGTACCATATGCTTTTACAGAATGCTAACATATAAATTTATACAGAAGGTATGAAGCATGTAAGTATTTCCAAAGTAAGCATTGTCAGTAGAATTGACTGGTACCACTCCCTCCATCAGCCCTGTGAGGAGAAAAAAACCCGTATTTTATGTGTAGCATTAGGAAAATCCACCAGAGGGAGCTGCCAGGACATTGAATACATGACTAAAATAGGCTGGAAAACCAACGTTTAGCCTACTTAAATAGGAGGGAAGCCTGTTTTAATACTTAAAACCACGAGAAATGTATATAGCTTATTTGTGCACCAAGCACCAAGCCCAGTGAGGAAAAAGCTGACTCCAGTTCAATAAAGGTATGCATGTTTAACTGAAAAAAGTTCAGTTACTAACTTAATTTTTTTTTCAGTGGGAGGAGGAAGAAAGAACATCACAAAAAAATATATAACAACAGTTGTTCTATTGTCCAATAGCAGATCAGTAGGCAGAACACGCAGAAAATAAGAACAGAAATATTTCAGCCAGCCAACTTCCACAGCCTGCAGGTCAGTAAAGTCATGACAGAAAATACAAATAAATAAAAGAACAAAATAATTTTAATATATTATACTTATGCTGATGCAAAATATACAAAAAAAAACCCCATAGCCACACAAACACAGCAAAATCAAATCAAAGAAATACAGAATAACACCAGCTGTTATCAAACCTCATATTAAATCTTTTGACAAGAATTAATGCCCAGAAATAAAAAGATCAATAGAGCAAAATGAAAAATTTACTTAATACATATATATAGATTAATATATACAATACATACAGATGGGAATTCAGTTCTATTTCCCCAGAGAGAATATTGAGAATTTATTACTTTTAAATGAATATGTAAAATTTGAATATGTAATAATAGCTATACTAAGTAGAAGCATAAACTTATTGCTAGCCTATTTTCCCTAATGCTTTGCATGATGAGAACTCCCATTTTCTCAAAAGAAGGCTCACCATAATAAAAGTTACAAATCTAGACTTGAATGGTTATCTTTATATTTCTGCACCAAACAGGATGGCACAAATTCAGATTCTGCAACTTCTGTCCATTCAAACCTTAACTGAGGTCACAAGAGGTCAAAGAATCCAGTCCAGTAATGCTAAGCTTTTATTACAAAGAAATTTCTTCTCCTCTGTTAACAAACCAGGTGAGTTGCTCCACAGGGATAAGTAAGCAACCATCCTTGAGGATAAGTAAATAAAGCTTTGTCCCTTGTCCATCTAAAAAACAAGGAGTATAAAAAAAGGCTACATCATAAATATCCTAGATTCAGAATGCCTTTCCCTTCTCTCAGAAGAAATGGAGACAAAAAACAAAATAGTCAGGAGGTTGGGGTGAAGGACGACAACCAGTGCTGGAGACCAATGGCATTCTCACTTCCACCTTTGTGTCTTAATATGTACTCTTCCAGCACCAACAAACCTGATGTCTGCCATCAGAAATGAGAACTCAATACCATGTGAAAGATGCAAAAGCTTTTGTTGATTTTCAAAGAATGTAACTGAATGGAAGTGACATTCAAAAATATTGCAAAAAAGACAGGAAAACTGAAGTCAAACATTAAGTCACGGCAGCTACCTGTTACAAAAAAATTAGTCTTTAGTCCAAAAAAAAAAATTTTTTTAATCACCGTATACAGGCTTACCGATATAAATGGCCATCGTCTTCAAAGTCCTCTTTGCCCCACCTTCCTTTAATATCTTCGATTACATGATTTTTCAGGAATTTTTTAAGCAGCTTAACCGTTTGATCGCGAGTCACTTCTGGGCCAAAGTTTTGGTTAGAGCCAAGTAGCTCATGCAAACATTCGACTGCCTCCGAGGCTTTGAAGCAGCGCTCGTAGCTCTTGAAACGACAGCGATGCTTCCGCAGGGGCATTCCAGCACGGAAGAGCTCGATTATCTCGTTCCACTGGGAAAGAGCAAAGCAAATCGTCACGGGAGCTCTTCCCCCAGGTTTTCCTGCGGCCAGAACCCAGCCAGGTCTGTAAGCGGAACTACACCCCTTTTTCACCGTCTGCGTTCACAAGAACATCGAAACCTAAGCGCAGGATTTAAACTGTCGAGACCCAAAAACAAACACCAGGTGTAGGAGGCTGAGATA